GGGGTGGGGGTTTGTGAGGGGAGAAGACACGTGAAGGGTGGGGGTGTGGGAGCGAGGAGACTGGGGCGAGGTCACGGGTTACGTCGTGATAAGGAGTGGGGACGCTGAGGTCAGGGCGCGCAGCGAGGGCGTGGCTCACCTCCCGCACCGCCTGCGCTCGCGTCAGGATCCGCCGTCCACCTACGCAGCCTGGGGCACGAGGTCCAAGCTCGGAAAGGCACCCCGCCCCTTTCCGTTACCAGATCCGCCCCCAGAAGTGGCTTCTCGCCCTCATTGGCCAGTCTCCCGGAGCGGAAGGGGCGGGGTCACAAACACGTGAATGCGCCCACTTCTGGCTGGTCCCAAGTGTCGGCCTCCAGGTCTCATTGGCTACTCTGTAGAGCGGAAGGGGCGGAGTCGTCTCCGGCTGGTCTCGCACGTGGGGCTCTGGGTCGCAGATGGGCCGAGTTCCCAGACTGAGGACTGGCTGAGATCTCGGGAGAGCAGAATTGCAGCGAGGGTCAGCTGGTGGTCCTGATCGTTGTGTTCCTCTCTGTGGCTCATGAGTGTAAGGTATGCACTCAGGGCCCTGTCTGCTTGACCACTGTGCCCCGAGTGTTCAGGACAGCACTTGGCACAGCAGGTGCTAGTAAATATTGGTTCAATTAGTTCGACGCCCAAATATATTCAGTCTTGACAACTACAGTGCTGGCGGACATTGTTGCATCTGTCTTACAGAGCAGGAAACAGAAGAAGTACATGCAACTGGGGAGAGTGTGAGCTCTGGCTCCAGTCCAGGCCTGCCAGGCATCACTGGCCTCCAGGCGGTGGAAGCACATAGCCCCAAGTCAGGACAGGCAAGAGAACCGCTCACGGTTCTGCACGTTAAGCTGTGGTCCAGAGGAGGCCGGAGAGATTGCTCACACCTCAACAGGCCAGTCTAAGGAGCTCAGTCTTTACTTAGAGGGCACTTCGGAAGGGTGGGAGGCAGAGGAGTGACATGGTGAAGAGGTCTCTCTGGCTGCTGGAGGGAGAGATGAAACAGACTGTTGCTGTGTGGGTGAATGATGTTGGAGATGTGGACGGGGTGGAGGGAAGTACACAGAGTAGAAGCCTTTTAGAAGATAGACTTGACAGGGCTTGGTAATGTGGGAAGTGAAGAAGAAAGAAGGAATGGGTTGGTGGCTGTCTGGAGGGTGATCACTGGCTGAGTTGGGGAGCAGTGGGGGAGAAGCTGATTTGGAAGGCTGTTAACCAGTTTTGAACACTTTGAGATTCCAGATAAACCTGGGACCCACTGAATTTTCTTTCAAGGATTCTGATTTTTAGTGGACTGATTGCAGAATAGGAAACAGAGCTATAACTGAGCCAGACAGTTCTGGGCACAGAGTATTTGCCCATCTATTGAGGCCATACCCCCTCCCCAAGCTGGCAGGTTCCTGCCCCTTCTGACCTGGTTCCCTTGCTGTCCCTTCCCACCTGTGAGCCACCCTGCATACTTCTATTCCTTCCACCTTTGCTTAGACTTCCCAGAGCTGATTCCTGTTACAGCATCTCAGAAAAATACTAATCAGCAATAACTCTGATGGGTGATGAAGACAGCTTCAGGAAAGAGTAGGAGTTTACCAAGATGAGAACAATACAGGATTTCAGGCAAAAGTTCTATCAAAGGCAAAGGCAAGGATGTGAAAAAGCCTTCTTCATTTAGGGAATGGAGAGTTTGGCTGGGGCTCAGGATTCTTGAGTTGAGGCAGAAGATCATTTGGGCTGGAATGTGAGGGCCTTGGGTACGCTGCCTAGTGGGTGAGGTGGGCTATCTGAAGAACCCTGCAGAGCTCAGGCCAAGAAGGATGGGCTCTCGGTAAGGCCAGAGATGTCAGTCTGGTCTTCCCATGCCCCTGTGCATCCAAAACCAGCTAACTATTCACCAAATGTTTTCTTTATATCCTTGTCATATAGCCAGACTGTATTTTCCAGCCTCCCTTGCATTATGAGCCCTGGCCAGTGAATGTGGCAGTAAGTGCCCTGTATCATTACCAGGCCAGATCCGTAAAAGCTTCCCACGAGTGATACTTTCTCTCTCTTCCCCGTGTACCTGCTGGATGTTGATGTCCAAGGCAACTTGGGACCTACTTGAGGAAGGCAGGGCTTCTGTCAGCATGCCTTTGAATAATGGTATGGAGCTGAGTCTCCATCTCAGCCAACTGAACAAGAACTAAATTTCCCTTGGGTTAAACCATGAAGATGTCAGGATTTATCTATTATGGCTGCTAGCCTTTACTAGTGCAGATCTGTAAACCTGTGAGAGACAAGTAGCTTGTTCAGGTTTGATGGGTTGTCACCAGAGGGTTATATCTTGGTTTAGTACTATGGTTTCTCCTCTTACTTATTTTAACCAAGAACAAATCAGATAAAAAAAAAAAAACAAAACTTTGGATTTCAACATTAATTAAAAGCCAGCTTTTTGGAGACCCTGCTTACTGATCTCCCAGAGCTGGGTGAACTGATGAGCCCAGACACCTGCCAAAACCCAGACACCTACCCAAGGTAGGTTACACGGACACCCAGAGTGGCAGAGGTCTGTGAAGATATTTTTGGAAGACCAAGAAAGCTCTGAAATGGAACGTAACATTTTGTGAGCTTAGATTTAGTTTTATAAGCTTCTCACTGAGACTCAAAGGAGGTTAGGAGTCTCTGCCCTGGGAATCCTCTCATATGCTCTTAGGGTTTTAATGATCTTCAAAGTTGTTCTCAGGAGCCTACATCTACTTAGCTTTCAAGTTATATTTTGAAGAGTCTGAGACATTTTCACGAATACTCCCTATAGGCACATCAAACTCAACATTTAAAATTCTCATCCAATATCCCAATCACCCAGAGCAGAAAATATGAATATCTTTGGTGCCTCCCTATCAGGTTTTTCAGACCTTCAACATTCTCAGTTTCCTGAGACTCCCTTCTTTAGTCTAAGTCCTGCCATTTCTCCC